TGTCTCGGATGAATTTTGGACTTTATCTAAAGACTCTTGGTCCCAAGTTAGGGTTAATTTCTTAAAATATTTACCGTCTTAATCTTAGGTTCTTTGTCTAGGACCTAGTTTATTATACAGTAACTTACATTTGAATTGGTTGTAGATGAAAAGGAAGAAGAAGGAGTGAAAATGGAATAAGGGGAAGAAAGCTCCTCATCCTTAATGCCTTGTTGTCCTTCAACTTTGTTTGATAGGTCCTTCTCATTCTTGCCAAGATCCGCTACATCGTCTTTTCCACTAACTCCTTCATCAATCGGCATTGAATTCACACAAAAAGCCAATGAAAAAGCAAGGCAAAAAGCCAATAAAAATTTTTGATTTTTCATTTTAAAGGAGAATTTTAGAGGAGAGAATTTTTTTTGAAGCTGCTTGAGATGCAATGAATGAATGGATTTACTAAAATTGCCCGGCTTTTATGGGCCCATGATGCTCGATGATTTTTTTCTTTTCCGAATTAAATCTCCTTATCATTTAACTATTTTTCTCTATTTCCTGTGGCGATAAAACTTAATGCCGCGACGTTGATTTTGAAATAAATAAAAGAAAATTTTGCATAATATTTTTAAGATTTGCGGATAATTTTTAAATTTTCTCAAACTTAACTTTTCTGTTAAGCTTGGAAACAAAAGTAAAGATTTCATTAGTTCATGCAAGCTTTAAAAATATAAGAGATTTCAACTTTATCAAACAAATAAGTTTGAATATTACTATATCTCTTATTATCTATGTTCAATTTACATCAACTTCCCGGAAGGGTCTTTTATTTTGTAAAGCTAAGCTTTCTTGAAATTTTGTAAAGCTTAGCTTTCTGGAAAGCTAAGAGCAGCAGTCGGAGTTTGTTAATATCACCTTTAAGTTTGTTACTTGAAAGTTTAAAGATTCTTGAATGGATATTTGTCCACTATTAATTTTCTTACTTTAATTAAACAAAATTAAACCTTTTCCGAAATTAATTACAGACTTTTCCAGAATTCTCGCAAATCTACTGAAGTCAAAATTTAAGTTTAGGGAAAAATATTGTTATCAAATTTTCCAGAAAAATGCTCACTTTGTCAGCAACTTAAAAGATCCGTTTAAGCTTTTCCGATAGATAATTTATTTTTATTTTCCTAAAAAGTTTTATTTTCCAATACGCAAGAAATCAAAAACTTGCGGACATTCTCAATTTCCGGAAAAATCAAAGCATTGACTAAAGTGCAAGAGTTAGACATGCTATAATTGCGTCAATGAATATTTATAAATTTATCCTCACGTGTGGCTTTCGGTGTTTAATTAAAGGAAGTTAATAGAGTGCAAATTCGGAAAATAAAAAAGAAAAAATCTTAAAAGGGATTTCCGCTAAGGAAAGTGCGAAAACTTAATTAAATTAATATTATTTTTTAATTTTATGAATTAAATTGCTTAATAGTCTGTTAACGCAAATTAATAAGAATATTGGAGCTTTTTTACTGTTCGAAGAAATAGAGAATATTGATAGTTGAAGCCCGAGGATTTTCCGCAATTTGCCTTAATCGACATGCACGAGAATAACGTTTATCCATAGTAGATGTAGGTGAAGATGTATTGAGGCTTTAACAGATGAAGTAGATTAGTGACTAGCCGTGCTAATATTATCCGACTAGCCAGGGTGAATCTTTCTAACAGGGTGAATCCATAGTGGGCCAATAATTTTGAAACACATTTTTCTACAAAATACTCAAATCATTTTTATCTCTTATTGCTCATTCGCATCAACAAATAAACAAAGTAAAAAAATCTTTTTCACAAAATATAAAAATAAATAAATAAATGATAAACTCTTGACCTTACATTTTTATAAAAGGTTTTCTGAGTTTTCCCGACTTTTTACAACAATACTTATCTTATATTTTGTTCTTCATTTTATTTAATTAATTCTGACCTGTCCATTTACAATAACAATTTATGTTTACTTTAGGTTAACTCTTATTTTAAGAGTTAACCTTTAAATACTAAACCTCTTTGAATACTAAATAGTGAACTTATAAACTTATAAACAGTTCAATTACTTTTTTAAATATTCTCCTATTTACTGCTTTACTGACAATTACAATGCAAAAATGAAATTCAAAACGAAAGAATTGGATAAAAGTACACTTTCAATAAAGAGATCTGTTGAAAAATGGGGTGGGTCTATGATAACACAACTTAAACTTGAAGCTATCATCTTAAGCGGATTATATTAACAATCTTAAAGATTAGAATAACCTTCCGAATTAGACTTCCTTTCAAGAAAAATTCTTCAACTTAAGTGCAAAATATTAAGAGGTCAGTTTCCGGAAATATTATTAATTTATTAACCTTTTATTAATTTATTAACGCATGTGACTTGCTAAATTTAACAGCGACAGAGGAAAATCGGAAAAGAAAAAGGAAAAAATTTTTTAAAAGGGCATTAGAATTAATAAAAGCTATATTAGTAAAGTGCAAAGAGCCATGTAGTTTGATGATTTAAAGCGGAAGCGGAAAGATGAAAAAGTCTCAACATCGTGTTGTGTGGCAAGCGGCAAGCTTTAATTTTTAAATTAATTTATTTAATATATTATTTTTTAATAATAATTTTATTTACTATATTTCTTCAATTAATTATTTTAACGATTAATTGAAACATTATGTAGTTTGCAGGTTTATATAATTATTTTATTATTTTAATCCTACATTCACTTAAGGGTTATATTTATATTTAACACTCTAACATATCAATAAAAGTGCAGTGATATTATTAACAGTGATCAAATTCAGTATTCCGTTGACCGCAAAACAAAGAAAAATTTTCCCATGATGGTTATATTTATGTAAAAGATAAATTGAGTGGTGAAGGCGAAAGTATTTTTGGCTCTGTGATACACGTAAAACAACGGAAAGTAAGGACGAATCCATAAAACATCTGACGAGGAGCTTAGTTTTTTAAGAATGGTCACTGCAATAGCTGTTCAGGATTAGGTGAACCAGCTAGAGTTGGAGTTCAAAAGGCAAACCTTCTTCAAATAAACCTTCTTTAGTATTGAGCGTGATTCGTCAAAGAGGCTCCTCGACAATGGAAAAAACTGCAGAAATTCAGGCCTGCCTTTAGCAATTATGCGTAATTTTTAAGTAAATAACAATGTAAGACAACAATTTTTAGGACAAATGACTTGTACAAGTGCCAGCCTAAAACAAGTTCAACGTCAAAGAAGGAAAGAAAATATTGCACTTGCAAGTCCACCTACACTTGGTGAAATATTGTTTATTGAGCAGTACATGAACCGTGTAGTAAGTTTGAGATTTTATAAAAATCGAAAATATGATTTCTAGTTAAATGGTCAGCAAGAACGTTTTTTACTCGCTGATAGTGTAGGAGAAAAACTAATTCTTGTATTTGGTAGTGAGGCAAGTGCTGGGTGGTCAAATCAAATGGAGCATGTTTTTATGGACGGAACTTTTTCAGGTAATATTTAGTAATCCTGTCCTATATGTTTGTTTTTTTCAGTTTGCCATCCTCTCTTTCATCAGCTATTTATAATTCTTTCAAAACGCGGAGGCTTCGACTTTCCAGTCGGCGGTAACTTGGGCTGCGGTCTTTTTGACACTTTTAGAACTAATGAGTTTCTTCTAATTTTGCAGAATCTTAACACAATTTTACAAAAAAGCAACAGGAATATGAGCATGAGGATTGCATTCAAATTACAAGCCAAGAAGTTAATTAAGAATTGAAGATAATTAACTGTTATTTTTGATTGAGTTTATTAAGACCTTCATGAAAAACAGGATAGCCATAATTTATTTAATAGTAAGAAATAATTAAAATTAAAGAAGTGTAATATGATAGTTCAAAGAATTTACATTTAACATCTTTCAGGATATTATCCGCGTCAAGATGCATATATTGTTTCTTCAATAACACTTCTCGCAGTCATAAGGCTGAAATATTGGGAAATAACAATTATGAAAGTTAAAAATAAAAATTCAACATCATTGTCATCGCATGGAGCTGTCGTCGACGGAGTCTTAGTTGTCGACGTCGAAGCTGCTGTCGATGGAGTCTTAGTTGTCGACTTTGAAGCTGTTGTCGATGGAGTCTTAGTTGTCGACGTCGAAGCTGTTGTCGATGGAGGTTGAGTGGTCGACGTCGAAGATGCTGTCGACGGAGTCTTAGTTGTCGACGTTGAAGCTGTTGTCGATGGAGTCTTAGTTGTCGACGTCGAAGCTGTTGTCGATGGAGTCTTAGTTGTCGACGTCGAAGCTGTTGTCGATTGAGTCTGAGTTGTAGACGTCGAAGCTGCTGTCGATGGAGTCTGAGTTGTCGACGTCGAAGCTGTTGTAGATGGAGTCTTAGTTGTCGACGTCGAAGCTGTTGTCGATGGAGTCTTAGTTGTCGACGTCGAAGCTGTTGTCGATTGAGTCTGAGTTGTAGACGTCGAAGCTGCTGTCGATGGAGTCTGAGTTGTCGACGTCGAAGCTGTTGTAGATGGAGTCTTAGTTGTCGACGTCGAAGCTGTTGTCGTTATCGGTCGAGTTGTCGACGTCGAAGCTGTTGTCGATGTCGGTCGAGTTGTCGACGTCGAAGCTGCTGTCGATGGAGTCTTAGTTGTCGACGTCGAAGCAGTTGTCGTTATCGGTCGAGTTGTCGACGTCGAAGCTGTTGTCGTTATCGGTCGAGTTGTCGACGTCGAAGCTGTTGTCGATGTCGGTCGAGTTGTCGACGTCGAAGCTGCTGTCGATGGAGTCTTAGTTGTCGACGTCGAAGCAGTTGTCGTTATCGGTCGAGTTGTCGACGTCGAAGCTGTTGTCGTTATCGGTCGAGTTGTCGACGTCGAAGCTGCTGTCGATGGAGTCTGAGTTGTCGACGTCGAAGCTGTTGTCGATGGAGTCTTAGTTGTCGAAGATGAAGCTACACAGACATTGTTCACACATTCACTGTTATAACAAACTTTTTCACCTTCAAATTAGTTTAAAATTTTTTAATTTAAAAATAATTTTAAACCTTTGGTGAATCCTTTACAATCTCCCCCTGGACGCGCCTTTGCTGCGCAATGGGGAGTTCCATGGGAGAGGTCACAAAATAAATATCTTTAATTTAGAATTTAATTTTCTTTAATTTTATTCCTACTTTGAGCCACAATCAGGCTTATTCAAACTACAATTTGGCCTCGGAGCATATTCATACATGTTGTCTGTATATTCGTTTCTACATCCATCGATATTTGTTATATACTAAAAATTAATAAATCTATAAAATGATCAAGTAATGCTTGATTAATTATATTTTTTCCTTTTTATGGAAATAGTCCGTAGGAGCGTATGATTTAGTATGAAGGTAGCGTTCTCATTAGTTTACCGCCAGTAAGAGTTTTCATCAGTTTACCTCCTCTCGCACCAAGTACGAGGTAAAAATTCTGATACGAGCGTCTATTACAACCGGAGGTTCTGAGATTCAAGTAGTGTTGACGTGCTATAGAATAGCAATTTATCCGGTGTAGAAATAAACAATGAATGCGAAGGTGGAAAGAACTGGAGCAGACGTCAGAGTTCAGTGTCTAGTTCCGCTAGTATGATTCAGATAGACTGACGCTTTCACTAGGTTTTATACTATAGCGATACCACTACACAACAGCGTCGAAGCAATTTATGTAATAGTTTGTATGTATATATTAGGGTAGCACCCCGAGCCTTCGTGGTCGGGTGTGTCGGGGATCGGTGTTTGCCATGGTGGACATGTCGGGGTTCGGGTTCGTAGATTATTGTGTATTGAATATGTGGATCACCCATATTACATCGGTATTATAGTAAATGCTGGTTCCGAATGGTATCAAAAATCCCTGATCTTATGCCCCACCAATTTTTCAAATATAAAAAAATTACTGGAAATTGTGTCATTTTATTATTTCTGTAATGAATTTCTGTTTCGCATGCCTAAAGATAAAATTACATATTACAGAAACATTTATAGATATACAGAATTATCAAGTGGATATTGAACTGGCCTTTCAGAATAATTCTGTCTTGCTTGTCGCCATTGTTCGAAAAGCTAGGAAAATTACAAAATTAAAAGTTTATTTTTTTTATTTCTCACATAATCAACGAAACAGTGATGGTTGTAAAAAACAGGGTCGTTTGCTGATTGAGTTATATATGCCATATTTCCACCGATAAATGTGTGAGGACCACCATGAGCCAACTATAAATCATGACTATATATTTTTTTATTAAAATTTTACAAACTTCGGGATTTCCAGAATATACTATACTAGAACACTTTACTGGATCTGGTATCGCCGTATATGCTATGATATTTTCAATCTTAGTTTGTTGCATTTGCCAATTAATGCTGTAATTATTTAATTACTTCCCGAAAGAATAGTTGAAGGAGTTAAGATTTACTATAATGGGTACACCTCAATGTTCGTTTAAAATTATCGAATCCGTGACGCCATTGTAGTGTTAGACTCAGCTCGTCGACATGTATCGAACCATACCACGGCGTCCCAGATTCGACAATTTTAAACGATGTTATAGCTCGGCGGTACATTGGGCTCGCGGTACATTGCCTGCTCCCTACTATTGTACATTTGCTTTCTTCCTCCCCCTATCAATAACCTTATTTTTACCAATCTTGGAGATATAATTTAATAATTACTATTCTTCTTTGTAGCAGGTGCCACCAACACCTACCGCTCTTTCAAGATAATCTGTATTCTAATAAAATAATTTCGAAATATTGAAATATTTTTATTTTTTAAACCATTAATGTTTCCCAAGGTGAAAAAGGCCCATCAATCACTTGTCCACTAGCATTTGTACTTCCAATGAACTAAAATTATTAAATTTGCTTTATTCAATTTAGTAAAGCAAGCTTCGCTATAGCTATTTCTATCCTTTAGCTATGTGCAAAAGGTTAATCGGCGGCTGGTGCGAACCAGCATCTTCAGTAGACCGGACTGATTTCTATCCATTACACCACGCCGCCTACTGCACAGTCTCAGGAATTAAATAGCTATATGCTTTAAAATTCCGATTTGTTCGTTTTTATCTTGTTATGGATTGATTAAAATTAATTCTGATCTTTTTTATTAAATTATCTAATAAAATTACATCAGCGGTAAAGAAATATGAATCCTTTGGTGTCGGTAAACGTCCATCCAAGGTCGAGTCCCAATAAGCCAAACAAACATCGGTCGATTGGAAAAGTTTGTATGAAGCTTCTCGCATCGATAATTCAAAACTTAAAAATTGTAAAAATTCTTTTAAAATTTTTTAAATTTATTTTCCTACGCTTTAAGCAGTTCTCTATGAAATACCAAAAATTGTGGGCCGCCATGTGCCCCACCTTCCTCCCAGGCTTGTAAATGTAGTAATGCAATGATATCAAAATCGTTATTTGCTTTCATTTCTTTTATGGTTTTGAACTTAAATTTATATATTTTTAGAATTTTAATAAAAAATATGAAATGTAGGGTTGTACCCCCCCCCCCCCGTTCATAAAAGTTGAGTTAAGACCGGTTGGTTAGGTGGTAGGTGGCTACTTAGGTGGTTAGGTGGCTACATTTTATTCTAAGCGAGTGTTAGGTTCTAATTACTTTAGGTCTTTGATAACGAATCTAAGCTGCAAGTAATACATATCATAATTTTTTGAAAAGACGAAAAAATGCTCCCCATCGGTGAACAACCCTACTGAAGGTTGTGTTTTAAAATAATTCTGATATTTTTGAACAATTTTGGTTTTAATTAATTAAATATATAATTTACATAAGCTTCTCTTTGTTCATCTGACAGCATTCTAATTTCACGTCTAATACATTTTCCAACTGGTTTATTGTTAGGAAGTATACAACCATTTACAGAACCATCTTTTTTGCCTTTTTATTAAACATTTTCAATTTTATTCCTTTAATTAAATTACCATTAACTGCAGGACAAAAACAGCTCAAATTTACACATCTCAATTCTGGCCTGCTGGCAGGTAGTTCCCCTTTAGCTCCTCGTACTTTTCAAAAAAATTTATTTTATTCAACTTAAAATAAACTCACAATCTGGGTCCTTAAATTTAAAATTTTAAAAAATTTTTTTAAAAATTATTATTATGTATTTACCCATTTATTATACTTTACAGCATCCAAAGCTACACAAAAATCCTTTAATGCTGCATCAATACCTTCGCAAATAGCCTTTACATTACCAAATGATGTTGATAATATTATATAATGTATTAAAATGATTAGACCCGATTTTGGTTGAAATGATAATTTCATTTCTGAAAAATTTTTTTTGAATGTGTTAAATGCTAGCTTATTATAAAGACATATAAAGACTCTCTTGGGTAAATGTCCTGTTGGCTATCTACCCTTCCGCGCAAGTTATTAATATTTTTATCCCCTTCCCCATATTTCTGAGACCTACCTGCGAGCAGACATGGTCATGGATACGGATATGGATACAGATAATACCAAAATGCCTGCGGATATCCGCCCGTATCCGTCTGTATCCGCCGTAAATATCCGGATACAGATAGCAAAATCCGTATCCGTGTCCTAGTCTGTCTGCGAGCATTCAAAAAATTTAAACCTTAAAATTTTTCCAAATTTGGAGAAAGGATAGTGTTGACCCTATATATTATGGTCCTGTTCCGCCTCACAGCCTATAAATATTTCCATAACACATCTAATTGTAACGGAAAATTTTCCAAAAAACTTAGTTAATCCGCTATAGTTAATATCTTCCATTTAGTGTTGTCCTTTTCAAAAAAATTTTCGGTAAACCAAACCGAACCTAAAAATTTATGATTTCTGGTTCAAGTAAAGCAGCTGGTCTATACATAGCTATTTCTCTCCTTTAGCTAGTGCAAAAGGTTATTCGGCGGCTGGGAGTGAACCAGCATCTTCAGTAGACCGGACTGATGTGTTAGCCATTACACCACGCCGCCTACTGCATAGCTTAGGAATTAAATAGCTATATGCTTTACATTCAGTTCAGTTTGAGATAGCCAACCCTACTCTCAATAGAATAAAATAGTAACAAATTCAATATAAAATTATTTAATAAAACAAATAATTTATCAAATAAAGTTAGAAATATTTTTATAAATTTTTGTTGTTAAAAATTGTTGTTTTCTTTAATTTATGTTTTCATTCTAAAACATACATGTCATTTTAACACGTATAACTTTTTCATAATTTATTTTTAATTTTATTATTTCCATGTTGTCATCCACATCATATATTTTTCTAAATTTTTATTCGTAGACAATTTTTTCATTTTTTATTTTATTAGGGAACTGATTTTTAAGTTGTAAAAACCTTAAAATAGGTACCTAAATACATTGCTAAATTGCCATAATATGTGACAGAAATAAGGAAAAGTGTTTCAAAAAAAGTCAATATACAGGGAGGGCTATACAGGAAGGCATCTGCTCTAAGTGAGAAAAATACGTTTGAGTCTGATTTTTAAAAAAATTTTTAAATTGTTTTTATAATGGAAACCAGACTTTGTTTCTCGCTCAATTCTTTGTTATTAATTTAGAGTCCATATTTTTAAATTATTAAGTCACCATTTTTTGACTTTATTTCTAAAAAAATAAGTTGCCATTTGTTTCATAGATTTTATAAAGAATTTTTTTAATGTTCCAAAAAGCCACGCCGTTTAGGACCAAAAAAGCCACGCTGGGCAGAACATCTTCCTATAAATTTATTATTATTATTATTTTTATTATTGTAGATAATTTAAGAAGCTTTTTAAAGATACTCGTGTTTGAGGAGCCAGGTTTTGGTGATGGCATTGAATTTCATAAGAATATTTTAAAGAATTAGGATTAAAACTATAACTTTTTGTAGCATTATACGCCGTTAATTTTTGTTCATAATTTGAAGAAAATATAATTGAATAATTTAAATTAATACACCCTTATGGCTAGCATCAGCAATGAGTTTCCTTTTTAGCCCGGAAAGTTTTGGTGGCCCCCTCACCAAACCCAATTAGTTTCCCTTGCTCCCTCCCACAATTAATCTGGAACACGCCACCAGGAAAGGACTTCCCCTTTATCGCCTCCCCCATAGCAACCCCTTCAATAGGCTGGTGTCTATAGGGACGGACCCCTCCTCCAACCAGACCCTTCAATAGGTTGTCGGCATTTCACTTTGAAACGAAACCCGAGGTTTACATACATATTTTAGGTTTTTAAAACTCAAGATCCGTTCCTAATAATAAAATAACAAAAATGAAAAAATTGTCTGAAAATAAAAATTTAGAAAAATTTATTATGTGGATGACAACAACAAGGAAATAATAAAATTCAAAAAATAATGGAAACAAATTATACGCTTTAGAATGACATGTATGTTTGTTTTAGGATGAAAAAATAAAGACAACGACAAAAATTTCTAAAAACATTTTTCATTTTATTTGATCAATTATTCTTTGGGTTAATTTAAAAATGATGTAACTACACTGCGGTGCATATGTTTATGCACACTTGTTTTTTGTTCATAAGTTTATGCACACTTAATCAAAAAATATGTTCTATATAGCAATCGAAAGCTCTATTTGTATCTCAGTTGACATGTTTCTGCATTTTTCGAATTTCTGACATTTTCGAAAAATTTTCGACCGGTCTAACAGGTACTACATTTTCAACTTTTCGGAAAAATTTTTTTGAAGTCTGTAAAAAATGTATGTGATTCTTCTCCAGATTCTACATACAATACAAAAAAATAATCCAAATCGGTCGAGATTCGACCGAGTTATGAATTATTGAAAATCGAAAAAACACCATATTTTTGCCATTTTTCGTCAAAAAATCGCGTTTTTTCGATTTTCAAAAAATCATATCTCCGTTCCGGAAAAAGATATTTCTAAGCGGTTTTGTGGTAAATACTCACAAAAATATGCTTTATCAAATGGGTTTGTTAAATTTTTTCCGAAAAATTTTTCCGAGGATATAGGATTTGGTATATCCGGTAGATCCGGATTATCTCGGTCAATTTTCATTTTCATGAAAAATGCAGAAACATGTCAACTGAGATACAAATAGAGCTTTCGATTGCTATATAGAACGTATTTTTTGAATAAGATTGCATAAAATTATGAACAAAAAACAAGTGTGCATAAACATATGCACCGCAGTGTATTATTTTAATTATTTTGTTACAAATTTTATTTTAGTTCCTCATATTATATATTTAAATTTTATTATTTGATAGACACTTCCATTAGAAATAAAAATTCCGAAAATATTTTCTTAAAAATATTTCTATTAAAATAATTTTTTGGATTTGTTGTTACCTATTTTATTTTAATGAGATAGTGTAATCTGTTTCAGTTCGAACTGACCAAAAATCAAAAGATTTTCGATTTTTTGGAAGATATCTAGAGATGAATTAACTAAGTTTTTTCCGGAATATTTTCGTTATATTAGGGTGTAACATAAATAATTAGCCCCCCTTGAGTAAAATTATATAAATATTTTTTAAAATTCAACTAAATGTTTTCAGACTTCAAATTATATTTTTCTATGATCCTAAGAGAGTTGCCTATTTTCTGGCAAAAAATCAGAATCATAGGATTAAGTTGACAGGAGTTAGAGGTGAAATACTAAAACTTGTATTTTTGAAGCTAGTTAAATTCTTTTTGATTTCATTGGATGTGGTATGGAATATGTAGTACCATTATAGAATTAGTCGCGATGCACAACCGATTGTGCCTTCATCCAACCTGAAGATGGAATAATTTTTTTCATTCTATTTTTTTCTAAATTTTTTGAGTCAAGTTTTTGTATGTGTGTATATAGACACTTCCTTATCACCCAGGAAGTGTCGTGGTCTCAGAAATGTAGAAAAGGGATAATAATATGAGAGGGTGTGGGTAATACTATTATTAAGGGAATAAAGGTACATCCTAAACAGGACATTTACTCATGAGTCATGTCTTTACACTTGACTGAAACAATCAAAAAAAATTTTTTTCAGAAATGAAATTAACATTTCGACCAAAATCGGGTCTAATAATTTTAATACAGTATATAATATTATCAACATTATTTAGTAATGTAAAGGCTATTTGCGAAGGTATTGATAAAGATTTAAAGGACTTTTGTGAAAAATTGGACAAAATAAAGTATAATAAATGGGTAAATATTAAATTTTTAAATTTTTTTAAATTTAATTTTAAATTTAAGGACCCAGATTGTAAGTTTATTTTAGATTTAATAAAATGAAATTTTTTTGAAAAGTACGAGGAGCTAGAGGGGAACTACCTTCCAATAGACCAGAATTACGATGTGTAAATTTGAGCTGTTTTTGTCCTGCAGTTAATGGTACTTAAACTTTAAAAAAGTGAGATAAAAAATAAAAATGTTTAATAAAAAGGCAAAAAAGATGGTACTGTAAATGGTTGTACACTTCCAAACGGTAAACCATTTAAAAAATGTTGGAGGCAGGAGATTAGAACATTGACAGATGAACAAAGAGAAGCTTATGTAAATTATATATTATATTAAAAAAAATTTCTCGACCTTCAAGGACGGGTTAAAACCCTACATTTCAGAATTTTTATTAAAATTTAAAAAAAGTTTAAATTCAAGTTCAAAACCATAAAAGAAATGAAAGCAAATAAAGATTTTGACATCGCTGCACTGTTACATCGACAAGCCTGGGACGAAGGTGGGGCACACCGCGGCCCACAATTTTTGGTATTTCATAGAGAAAAGCTTAAAGTGTAGATAAATAAATTTAAATTTTACAAAAAAATCAACAAATTTTGAGTTTTGAATTAATGATGCGAGAAGCTTCATACAAGATTCTCCAATCGACAGATGTTTGTTTGCCCTATTGGGATTCGACAATGGATGGACGTTTACCGACACCAGCTCATTCTTATTTCTTCACCGCTGATGTAATTATTAAATAATTTGATAAAACCATCAAATCAGAGTTAAATTAAAACAAATTTTAGTTCATTGGAAGTACAAATTCTACTGGACAAGTTATTGATGGGCCTTTTTCACCTTGGGAAACATTAATGGTTTCAAAAATAAAAATTATTCACTATTTCAAAATTATTTTATTAGAATACAGATTATATTCAAAGAGACGTAGGTAGGCATGGAAGCTGCTACAAAGAAGAATAGTATAATAATTTTATAAATTGGTATCCTCCACAATGGGTAAAACATAGGATTGGTCCCCGACAAAGGGGGGGGGGGGGGGATAGAAGAAATTAGCAAAGGTTCTGATTCTGATTTTTCTATCAAAATAGTAATAGCATACATCTGTTTCTGAAGTCAAATGACGGAACAAGAATAAGCGGAGGAATAAAAAAGTTATTCCATAAGAGTTATTCCAGCATAGCATTATTCATGCTATACAATATTATACATATCTTAACCCCTCCAACGTTCCCTTCGGGAAGTAATTAAATAATTACAGCATTAATTGGCAAATGCAACAAACTAAGATTGAAAATATCATTGCATATACGTCGATATCAGATCCAGGAAAGTGTTCCAGTAAAGTATATTCTGGAAATCCCGAAGTTTGTAAAATTTTAGTAAAAAGATATAGTCATAATTTATAGTTGGCTCATGGTGGTCCTCACACATTTATCGGTGGAAATATGGCATATATAACTGAATCAGCAAACGACCCTGTTTTTTACAACCATCACTGTTTCGTTGATTATGTGAGAAATAAAAAAAAATAAAATTTTAATTTTTTAATTTTCCTAGCTTTTTGAACAGTGGCGTAAAGCAAAACAAAATTATTCTCAAAGGCCAGTTCAATATCCACTTGATAATGATGTATATTTTTAAAATTTATAATTATTAGAGCTAAGATTTTTAGGCAACATAAAGTTAAAAATAGGCGCCTAATAGGCAATTTAAGGCAACAATGAAAATAGTTTGAAAATAATCCTAGCCCTAATAATTATGTTTTTGAAATATGAATTTATATTTTAGGCTTGTGAAACAGAAATTCACTTCAGAAATGAAAAAATGACACAATTTCCAGTAATTTGTTTTATTTAAAAAATAGATCGGGAATAAGATGAATATTGGCATACGATGGGGCATAAGATGAGTAATTAGAAGAAAATTTTCTGATTTTTCCCTAAAATTTCCCTAAAAAATTGTATGTTATCGTGTGTATATCTCGAAACCCCCGAAAATTTTTCTTATAGGGAACGGGGTTTCACATTTTCGGGGCGGGGTTCGGGACGGGGATAAATGTGAAAAAATCATTCGGGAACATTGTTCAGGTTTGGGTTATAACTCTAATCAAAATTTACTCTATTATCTTATGTTAGAACAACTTTTACTTGCGTTTCACGACCAAATTAGTCCGGGATAAAAATATGAAAATTCATATAAATCCGATTCCTGTAATTCACACATATGTAATAAGAAGATTGAGCATATGATAAACCTCCTAATGTAAGGGTACACCTCAACTTACCGCAAACCAACTTACCGCAGAGCTATAACTTCGTTTTCTTAATAATTTGACACAACACAAAATAAACTCCTTTACTTCTGTTAACCGAAAGGCTGGTTGTTCGAGTCCACCCAGGAGCGCCATGTAGGACTTAAAGGGGTATGTCCGTACCCTTTTTTTCTTAATAATTTCACACAACACAAAATAAACTCATTTACTTCTCTCTTTTAAATAAAATAACAACAAAACGAATATCAAATGGGGAGGGGTTTACAATATAAAGAGAGGAGAAATTAATATATGGGGTCAAAATAAGAGTGAGAGAACGAGAAGAAATATAACACTATTTCTTTTTGGGCATGACAGGTTTATCGAATACTATTTCCATAGAAAGGAGAAAATACATATATAATAAATCAAGATATTAATTGCCCATTTTGTATAATAAAGTATATTATAAATATATTTTCTAGTATATAAGAAACATTGATGGATGCAGAAACGAATATACAGACAATATGTATGAATATGCTCCGAGGCCAACTTGTAGCTTGAAGAAGCCAGATTGTGGCTCAAAGTAGGAAGAAAAATTAAAGAAAATAAATTTTAAATAATAGATATTTGTTCTGTGACCTCTCCCATGTAACTCCCCGTTGCGCAGCAAAAGCGCGTCCAGGTGGAGATTGTAAAGGATTTTTCAAAGGTATATAAAATTATTATTAAATTCAAAGAAAATTTTAATTTAGGTGAAAAAGTTTGTTATAACAGTGAATGTGTGAACAATGTCTGTGTTCGTTACCCGGTAAATACATATTGATATTAAATAATTTGTTGGATTCTAAATCGAATCAGAACTCGAAAATCGAAATAAATCAAAAATTTTGAAATCTAAAATAATTTTTAAAAATTAATTTCTTTAATAATAAAATATTTGATAATTAAATTTTTAATAATAAAATAATTAATGTCTTCGAAATCGAAATTCGAAAGAAAAATAACCTAAAGTATCGATGTCGATCGAAAATTTGAAAAATTACTGGCTACTTGATGGGCTTGTAAACTGACCATTTTACTGTAGGACTCTGAGTTTAAAATAGGGTTGACAGATTTAGTGAAATTCTCGGATATCTGCATCCTTAACTGCATCATATCCAAAATTTTGAATATTCGGTAGAGTAAAGAAATTTTTATAAATGTCTCCCTTCAACTACCCTAAAATACACGAAATCCGTACAGATCCCTTTATATCCCTCTACTTTTGATTAATATTTTTAATATTTCTTCCTTTTTGTGCCTCAGCCTCCATCAACGGCAGCTCCAACGACGTCAACTCAGCCTCCATCGACAACAGCACCTTACGATGAAGACGAAGTCGATTTTAATTTTTTTAACTTCTATAATTGATTTCATTCCCAAAATTTTTAGGACGATGACTGAGAGAATGTTATTAAACTGCAAGAATTGATATTATATGCATATATTCACGAATAATATCTTGAAGGATTTTTGAAATTTATAAACATAAATTCTTCGAAATAATACTATATACATTAGGATTGTTGGTTTCACCAAATTATCGGTTAACTGAACCGACAAAACGAGCCGAAACATTCAGTTAACCGAAACAGGACCGAAATTATTAGGTTAACCGAACCGAAAATTAGTCGGCGATTAAGTGATATCCGTATTTACTCGATTAATTCCCCCGAGGAATTATTTTTTCAACTCATCCCTGTCATGGGGAATTAATAGGGGGTGGGGAATTATTTGAGGTTGGGGAACTAATCGAGTAAATACGGTATGTGGATTAGGCAGTGGAGTATATAAACTGATTTGTTCGGTAGTGGATTATGCATATTAAGTAGTGTAGTATAAAGGATTGAATTTAAAACTCAAATTGAAGCTTACAATTCCTTATAACTACTATTATTCAAACTACAGATTAATATTAAAAAATAATTAAGAAAATAATAAATTTATCTTTAAATAAAATGTATGTTGTAATAAATCACAGAATAAACAAAAATATCTGATGTATTTATTGTTTCTTCTATATCTGTGAATTCTACTAAAGTGAATGTTTCGTATGTTTGGTTATTCTCATGCAGATTTTAATTTTTCAACTAGATTTTTTACCTATATTTTATATATACCGATTTATATACCGATTTTGCCCTTTGTTGACGGTAAGTTTATTCTCGGTCATGTTCCTCATCCATGTCGTGGCCTAATAAATAATATGCATCAACGTATCGTGTTGTTTAATTTTCGAAAGAATCTCCTTCCAATTAATCACAGAATGATGAACACATTGTATTTCAGACAAATCAAGATTAGACAAAGTAGAAAACGGGGTTTTATGAGTAAGACTTTCATTTCCTTTTATTTGGGGCATTTTTAATGAAGGTAGGGGAGAGCAAGGATTCTGATCATGGATTTGTTTAAAATCATTCAAAAAAACATTAAAATTAGAAGGGATGACAAAGTATTTACGATTATTCAGAGGGGTTATTTTCAATCTCTTAGGATGTATTTGGCGGGCAGTAACATCGGATCGGGAATTGTTTATAATGGTTGGTTCTCGGTTTAATTGGTTGGGCAATTTTTTCCTTTGTCTTTTACGAGATATTAGGCTTTCTTTTCTTTTTTCTATACAAAAAATTTCCAGATAATTAAGAGTGTGGGGTAATGGTTTATTTTCTTCCAATATCTCTTCTGATGTAGAAATATAATCATTTTCTGATGAATTAATATTCGTAGTTTCAATTGAAGAATTAAAAATAATAGATGAAATAGACTGTTGCAAATTTTAAGAAATATAAGGGGATGTTCTGGGGATAAATCAGGAATTAAGTTGTCAGTTAAAACAAGGGGCATTTCTTTAGAATAATTATAAGCTCTAACTTCATTATCTTCATTTATAATCTCTTGTAAGGGGGTAGATTCTTCACAAATATTATTAGTAATACAAACTTCATCAATAGGAGTAAAGCCGGGAGGGGGACTAATGGGTCTTTTATTAATAATTTCATTTGTAAATCTTCTATTCAATACAACATCTTCACTCATCTGATTGTTTAAATCGTTAGGATTCTTTTCAACATTTATTTCTTTTATAGGGGAAAAGCCAGGAGGGATAGCAAGAGGGTTAAATCTTTCCATTTTATTATTTGGACATTTGATTTTAAAAGAATAGCACTCGGGGAATAATGGTTGTTGAGGAGAATGGACTTGTTCATCAATAGACGGATAATCTCGAAAAACTGGAGAAATATAAGGTTGGGTGTGAGTAGGAGGTGAATAAAATATGTTTGGCTTGGGTTTAGCCGAATATGCCAGAGTCGGCGCCTCTTCTTGCGTAACGGGTGAAAGAGAAAATTGTCCTTTAGCTGGGGGATTTAAAAACAAATTAGATTGAATAGGTGGCCGGTTTCGATAAGAATTAACCATAGAATTTGCATAAACTGATTTTAATGAGGTTTGAGTATTTTCATTGAATTGCTTATTCTGGGAAGGGTTTAAAAGAGGAAGTTCAGGAAGGAGATGAGAATGGTCCAATGGGGGTTTAATTTTCGGTAAGTTACTTTCTAATTCATGTCGGGAATTTCGAAGCTTTCGTAGATACCGTTTAAGGTCGTACATAATTTTTATATAATTTGTTTCTTGTAGGAATTTCTCTAAAATTTGGCTATCATTTGCCCTTTCATTTTCTGACATGGAAATTCTTAATTTTGCCACAAATCGTGGGCCATTTTAAAATCATTTAAAATTTTGGTGATCTCTTGGGAAGTAAGGTCTATTTCATTAATTAGGGCCTGAGTAGATTCGGGAGATTGATTTTTAAAATTATCATAATCTTCTATTAGGAGAGAGAAAGGGCTAGGGAGAAGTATTTCTTTAGTGATGGAGCAAAGCTGGGACAATTTATCTCTATAAGTTAATGACATTTTTATTTAACAGCAATAAATAATTCGGACTTTTAAAATCAAACAAAAATAAAAATTTTAATTATTAACAGAACTACCAAAATATATATTAAGAAAAAATTTCTTTCAGAAAGGGACAAATTTAAAAAATCGGTCTCGGGTGGTCACCGGCTGAGCTGTAAAAACCTGAATAGGTTTTCAATAAAGGGAGGGGGAAAAGCCAAATATCTTTAATTAAAATCTTTAAATAAAATAATTTTAGTAATTCTATCAAACAATTTTCAAACTTTATTTTAACTTAATTCTCCAAACAAGTAAAATTAACAAAACAGTTATAAATCAAAATACTATCAATTATCTTTATAAAACGGGTAGAGGGAGAAACAAAAACAGAAAAATCTCTTTTAATGGGGAGAAGGAATTTCAAATTTCATAAAACCTTTACTTTATCTTTAAACGGGGAGGAATAGTTCAACAACTAACTTTTCTGGGAGGGGGTAGCTGAGCAGTTCAAAAACTGGGCAAAACTGCTTGTATTTCCATTTTTATATTCGGGCTGAGATGACAAAAAGGGGGAGGTGTTTGCACATTTTTAATCCAAAATTAGTTGGCCAAAATAACCAGTGCAAAGGGTTGCAAAGATAGACGAAAGGGAAGAGAAAGGACATTTTTAAGGCCGAATCAAAATACAAAAATACAAAGGAGCTTTTCCTAGTTAAATTGAGCGGGCCAGAGATTTAAAAAAATGGGGAGAAAAAAGAGCAGGGACCAAACGGTTAATGTGCAAGGATCAAAAAAGGCCTTAATTAACATTTTTTGAGCGGGCTTAAAAATATAGACAAAAATATATGGACAAAATTTCGGCCAAAGTTTAATAATTAAAAATATATTTTCAAATCTAAAAGATTTGACATCCCTGTCATGGGGAATTAATAGGGGGTGGGGAATTATTTGAGGTTGGGGAACTAATCGAGTAAATACGGTATGTGATTAGGCAGTGGAGTATATAAACTGATTTGTTCGGTAGTGGATTATGCATATTAAGTAGTGTAGTATAAAGGATTGAATTTAAAACTCAAATTGAAGCTTACAATTCCTTATAACTACTATTATTCAAACTACAGATTAATATTAAAAAATAATTAAGAAAATAATAAATTTATCTTTAAATAAAATGTATGTTGTAATAAATCACAGAATAAACAAAAATATCTGATGTATTTATTGTTTCTTCTATATCTGTGAATTCTACTAAAGTGAATGTTTCGTATGTTTGGTTATTCCCATGCAGATTTTAATTTTTCAACTAGATTTTTTACCTATATTTTATATATACCGATTTATATACCGATTTTGCCTAAATTTTAGAGTATTTCTCATAATCATGATATTTAGTTAGTTAATAATCTGCTGAGGATTAACCTTCGGGATATAATTCCCGTTGAACTTGAACAAAAATTTTAAATAATTATCGAATTCCATTGAAATGTTTTAATTGTTATTGTTTTCAAAATTAGTTACCATCTAAATTATACACTTTCTAATAATTTTTGAATCTATGATTATTACAATCTCAATAATTTTTACTAAAAAGCTGCTGTCTACTTAATCTAATTATGTTAATGGAATTCGATAATATTGAAAAAATTTCTGATTTTCAAATAAAAATGCGTGAACAATTTGCTCATCATGTCAACTTCCGCGCCCTCCTCTAGGCTTCTAATCAAAATTGTCATTACCCCCTTGGGGTTGCGAAGACGGATCTGATTCCAAAATACTAGAACCTGTATAATTAAAATGATATAAATAAATTAGTGAATGCATTTATTTTGCCTGAGCTACTTCCACGAGTGTTCCGTCCTCTCCCGCGTCTGCCTGCACGGCGTTCTTGTGTGTTACCATGTTCAATGATTTGACCTCCTTCTATAGATAAAATTTATGTTTTGAATAAATCTATGTTTAAGAAAAAATATTTTACAGTAAAATGAATATAAAAATATATTGATAATTTAATTTAAATTTTTGAATTTACGAGGATTTCCAGACGATGCTGCTTGTTCTTGAGGATATTGCGAGGTAGTAGAAGATGCTTGCCCTAATATTAAACATACGCAAATTTTATTTGAATAAATACAATGTTAAAAAATTATTATTATATAATTAACAATAAAATAATTTATATCAGTGCTAAAAAATTGAGATGTAAGATAGAAAGATAATAGAGATCTGTGTATTGTGGTATATAAGTAAAAGAAACATGATCTCGGTTGATAGCTGAATAATGTTTATGATTTAAACAATAGGAAAGATATTGTCAAGAGCATGAATAAATAAATATAGAGTGAAATAAAAAATAGACGTACCACGGTCACGAGCGTTACGGCTACGAGGGTTGCGGCCACGAATAATACGGCCTCGCCCGCCACTGCCACGATGGAGTCCTTGCAAAATATTTCCATGTTCGCTAGCTTGAACTTTAAATTTTAGCTAGAAGACATACATTTCAATTAGTCTCTACGAGCTGAGTCGAAAGGTACCACTCAGCCTGTGGACTAAGATATAGGTCCCAGAATATTGAAAAACTTGTGGGAATAAGCTTTATCAATTAAATTAATTCACAATAGTACTATAGTTCGACCCAGATCGTCGTGTAGAATGGTATGGGTTTTGATCGAAAATAAAACTCCAGTATACTAAATTAAGCCGGCAATTTTAGCATCTTTTTAAAAATCAAAAAAATTAAATTATTCATAAACCAACCATGCTGGCCAGGCTGCCCGGCATATCGGTAAATCGGGCCGTAACCTGATGGAACAGAAAATGCTTGGCGTCGCGAGGCTAGAGATTGAATCGGTTGCCCATCTATATACGGTTGAGGTTCTTCACCTTCGAATCTATATTGTACTGGATTCGCCAAATCGGCATCATCTTCAGGATTTTGCACTAAAATTAAATATATATTATCAGAACACAAAAGCATATTATGTAGAATTCAATACATCAAAGTGTTAAATTAGATAATTATAGAAATTAAATCAACATTTACATTTATATTAAAAATAAAACTTTATACGTACTTAGACAAACCTTATCTGACATTTAACTGCTTAATTGAATTAATTTAATGAAAACCAACTTCGTGGAGGAATCTGGTAGGTATTACGATGCGAACCAAAACCACGATAATAACCAAAGTGATGATGTCGGTGTTGAGGATTTGACGATTGACCTGATTCATAATCAGACAAATAAAGTCTATGTTGTTGGGGTCGAGGATTTGACGCTAGAGGATTTGACGATTGACTTGGTGGAAAACCAAACAGATAGTCTTGTTGTTGGGTTCGAGGATTTGACGATTGGGGATTTGACGATTGACTTGGTGGAAAACCAAACAGGTATTCCATGTTATGTTGTTGGGCTCGAGGATATGAAGAGTGAGGATTTGACGGTTGAGGATTTGACGGAAGAGGATTTGGCGATTGACTTGGTTCAAAACCAGGAGGATAATCCAAGTCTTTTTCTTGAATATTATTTTGAGGATTTGATTTTATATAATTTTTTTGTTTATCAATACAAGAATTGAAAAAAATTAAAGTTCTCACCTTCTTTTCCTTCTCGATCACCGGTACAGTGTGCTAAATTCAAAAAATTGAAAATAATGTATAGCAAAATAATAAATTTTGACAATCTCATCCTTTAAAAATCACTTTAGAATTCACTTCCAAAAAAAGTTTTAACAATAAAATTTTTATTTTATTAAATACCGTATTATCTCTAATAGAATGGCCGGCCATTCTATTTTTCAATCACCCTCTAGGGGGCCATTCTATTAGAAGGGGCCATTCAAATGGAGACGGCCATTCTATTAGAGATAATACGGTAACATCGAGAAAAAGGATGGACCATATGTTAATATAAAATCCAGCAAGAAATTTGCCGGAATTAGGAATGCTAAAAAATCTACAAGACATGCTCATTGGAAAGTCAATTATGTATTATTTTTAAATTATTACATTATTCAATTATTACATAATTTTAGCTTAATGCTTTATAATTAAAATATTAATTCATAGTTTTTATCATAGAGCTTCCAACTTTTAAAGGATTTTTAAGCATGGATGGAGAACAAATGATGAAAGGAATTTTAAATAAAAAAATCTATTGACGACTGTCAATAGCCTTATATAAAATCCCGAAAATATTAAAATTTTTGAATTATTTTAATAAAAGCATGCCGGAGTTAAAATAAATTAATAAAAATATTTACAAGTCAAAAGAATTAAAAAATTTAGTAAAAAAAAGAAAAATAAATGCAACATGGTTATTGTCAACCTCACTTATAAGGCTAGAAAAGGAGGCGTTGTCGCATAAAACACAACGAATCATGCCCTCCGAAATCACCATATTTATTCAAAAACAGTCTTAAATGTGCGATTTGTAAATATATTTACTTGCTTATATGTACAATATTTACGATTTTCCTTCTTTTTTCATGAAAGTTGCCCGGATGTTTATGTAAAGGGCATCTAAATTCAATAATTTTGCCAATATTGCATATAAAATCGTCCGTTTTTGAAAACTTATTTAAAATTTTTTACTCGAATCCTGTGAAGAAAGCCTTGTGTCATGTAATTAATAAGTAATATACACTTTTCTACCCGAGTTGCCATTAACATGTGAGATAACGCAAGAATGCCCTTTACAAGGCTTATTTTTTATTATATTAATCAAGACTCCTTTTTTTTAATTTAAGTTTTCATTAAAAAATAAAATGATAAAAATAAAATTTCTAGAAAACACTCTCTTTAGTTTCTAGGTAGCTCTAAAATTTTCTAAGAAAAAATCCTCGGAAGAAGTTACTTCCAATTTTCTCGACATTGAAAGAGTATTGCTCAAATTAAAGAAAAAATCGAGAGCACTATAACAGAAATACTTTTATTTACAAAAAATCTATTATTCTTAAATATATAATTAGGGCGTGTCAAAATATGCACGGAAAATTTCAAAATATGCGCATATATGTATATGCACCGAAAAAGCATCGAAACTTTATATATGCACCGAAAACTTTTACTTAAAGCAACAAGAATTAATGCTTTAAGTTTATTATTATAAGCAACAAGAATTAATGCTTTAAGTAAAAACGATATTTTAGTTCTAAAAGATTTTATAGATATAATATTTTTATTATATTAACCAAAAAAATTTTTTGGGAAAAAATTTTCCCAAAAAAATTTTAATATTTTTGCCCCAAAAATTGGGCAAAATTTTGAAAATTTTGCCCAATTTTTACTAAAATTTACTGAAAAAAGCCTAAATACGGACCAGAATAAGCATAATTTGCCAAAATTTGCACCGATATGCAAATATGCACAAAAGACCAAAATATGCATTAGGAACCGGGTCCTAAAGTGCTTGGACCGATGTGAAAACACCATTTTTGAGTGTTTCAGCTCATGAATATCCGCATGCAAAATTTGTATTGCTTTGACACGCCCTATATATAATTATTAGTCTATTATACTTTTTAAATGATCGAAAATAATCTACACAGTTTAATAGGTAAGTTTAATTGAATAAGTTTTGGATCTCCCTAATATTTGTAACTATAATGTCCCCGGCCTTATATATTTAAATTGAACTCTCTCAACTAAATGAGGAAACCAATACTAACAAATTAAACCATTTATTTATTAAAAGACAAGTTCAAAATAAGGCAAAGAATTAGAAATATGAAAAGCTATTTATATACGGGACAAAGGGCGGGAAGTAATGAAAGGTTGAATATTTACAAGTCTGAAATATATATAAATGTAGGTTAAGGAAAAGGTTGATAAGGAACATTAAAGAGAAACAAATTTAAATGTTTTGGGGAAATGTTGTAAAACGATAAAAGGAAAAGAAACATTTGAAATATGTTTTGGGGGAATAGTTTAAATACAAAGGGGAAAACATTAAATTAAATAAAAAGAACGTTTTAAAAATTAATAATTAATTATCTTAAAATCACGGATCCAACACTGTATAATGTCCCCGGCCTTAATAATTTAAATTGAACTCTCTCAACTAAATGAGGAAACCAATACTAACAAATTAAACCATTTATTTATTAAAAGACAAGTTCAAAATAAGGCAAAGAAATAGAAATATGAAAACTATTTATATAAATGATAAAGGGCGGGAAGTAATGAAAAGTTTAATATTTACAAGTTGGAAATATAGACAAATGTAGGTTAAGGAAAAGGTTGATAAGGAACATTAAAGAGAAACAAATTTAAATAATGTTTTGGGGAAATGTTGTAAATGATAAAAGGAAAAGAAACATTTGAAATATGTTTTGGGGGAATAGTTTAAATAAAAAGGGAAAAACATTAAAATAATAAAAAAGAACATTTTAAAAATTAATAATAAATTATCTTAAAATCATGGATCCAACACTCCTTCCTCCATCAAATGTTCTTCTCCTGAAGAACTATCATCACCAGCAATCTGAAGAAGTTCCCATTTTCTTATTTTTTTTTCAAATAAGCTCTAGCCTCCGCTAATTTTAGTGGCGGGATTTATAATGTCAAAGGCGACTCTCGCTTGACCAGCCAGACAAGAATGCAAACGGGCCAGTTTTTGCATTTCAGTTGTCTCAGTCATTAAAGAGGGTATATCCTTAAATTCCATTATTCATCCAAATTTCATTACTCCCATGTTTGGGGTTTGATTTTTCTATTATATCATTTTATTCTCAATATGTTTAATTGTCTTAAACTTTTACTAAAAAATTTTCGGTTTTAATTTCTCCCAAATCTTTGAGGACAATCTTATCCACCTCGATTAAGTATTTTTTTAAGTTAAATAAACATTTCCTATCTAATTCTCCTTTAAACTCAATTGAGCTTATAATAAATCCAAATTTTTTTTAATTATCTCATATCTCTTCCTTCTCCTCTGAAAAAAATTTCAGGGGCTATCAAATGAGGACATGGTATAAGTTCCACGAATATTTTCAAGCCTCCTTTTCAAAAACTAATTTATACACCTGCTATTTTTTAGAATGCACACAGCCTTACAGAAGATAAAACAGGATTTCAAATAGAAATTCTATGCACACAGCACTTTAATCGCACACAGCCTTTTTAAATGCACACAGCCGTCTTATAGACGAAAAAATTCCAGAATTTCACACAGAAATTCTAAGCACACAACAGGGTCACACAGACTCCTAAAAACTTTTAAAGGCACACAGCCAAAATATATTTCACAAAGAAATTATCTCTACTGAAATTTATCTTCTTTAAAGACTCCGATTTGTTCTAAAAACTATTCGGGCACAATGTCTCCATCGCTTTCGCGACGGGTCGTGGCACCAGTATAATGTCCCCGGCCTTATATATTTAAATTGAACTCTCTCAACTTAATGAGGAATTTAACTAACAAATCCAACTATTTATTTATTAAAAGACAAGTTCAAAATAAGGCAAAGAAATAGAAATATGAAAACTATTTATATAAATGATAAAGGGCGGGAAGTAATGAAAAGTTTAATATTTACAAGTTGGAAATATAGACAAATGTAGGTTAAGGAAAAGGTTGATAAGGAACATTAAAGAGAAACAAATTTAAATAATGTTTTGGGGAAATGTTGTAAATGATAAAAGGAAAAGAAACATTTGAAATATGTTTTGGGGGAATAGTTTAAATAAAAAGGGAAAAACATTAAAATAATAAAAAAGAACATTTTAAAAATTAATAATAAATTATCTTAAAATCATGGATCCAACAGTAACATTGTATTTTAACTTTTTACAAAACATTTTAATAAATTTATCTTGTATGCTATCACTATAAATAATAAAATAAAATGAATATTTGATTTAAAAAATTAAATCTTTGTGTTTTTGGATGTTTCTTATACATACTTTTTTTTTAATTTTTGATTTTTAAATTTTTATATAAATTCTGAAAATTTTTTAAACACAACTTTTACATTTTTGGTGTAATCTTTTTTAATTTCTTGTATTTACCAATAGGTAACTTAAATAATCTTCAATTCAGCTATAATCAGATCCAGTAGCCTCAACAACTTGAGCTTCATTTTCTCCTTCTAAAACGTTTGTGGATTTATCTGCTAAAATTAAACTATAAATTTTTGTATATTAATTTTCCTTCTAATAAAAATATTTTGTGAATTTTTTGAATTACCTTGACTTGCAGATAATGTTCCTTCTTCTGCGGCTAACAAGTTTCCTGGTATTTTATTTTTCTCAATGCTCTCGAAATTGTTGTAAAAATATTTTATAGTTGTAAGTGAAGTTCGCTTTGTGCTATTCAACTTTTCAATCTCCTTTCTTGCTTCATTTATCGTCAGGCCGTGTTTGAAGCAATGAAATAATACAGCACAAATTTCTGATTTTGGGATCAATCCTTCTAAAAATTAATAAAAAAAATAAATACCAAAGTAGAATTTTAACTGTTTTTACTAAAAATTTTGGAATAGACTGGGAGGAGAATGTTTA